TTGCTCCATTTTGAAAAATTTGGACAGAAAACTGTGAATGTGCAGCTTGAATCTAAAACATTCTGCATGCAAAGAAGGTACTCTACCATTGAGCCACAGCCACTTGCAGTGTGGAAAGTTGAATTTCAATGAGATTAATGTGCACTGAAATAGTATTTAAGAGGGTGTTTTGTTCTTTTGTGCTGGCTTGTTTGATGGGATGAACAAGATGCAGTGGTTCTTAGAAAATCATAGCTGGATACCATGTTGTAATTCCTCTTCATAGATTTTTTTAGGTGAGGGGTATAGTTGGAAAACAGTATGTTAGTAATCTATTGAAACTTTCACATTGCTATATTTCAAGCAGCAGACATATTCTACATTCCTTTCACTCTTCAAGCAGCTCATCTGTTACTCACATGGGCAAATTGTTTCACAATAGATACTGCTTTAGGGTAAAAACACTGCTAAGATTTCTTCTCCCTGAATCAACAGACGGGTGGCTGACTTTGGCAGAACACCACTTGTGGTGGCAAGCCACATTTAATGGAATATTACAGTGCAGGAATGAGAGGCATGGGTCTCTGGTTTTAGAATACTATTTATTCTGTGAAACATCCATTTTTGCCTCAAGACAGATGGTATGGTAATGCTTCCTCAGGAGGAGGCATCTACGTAAACCATACCTCAAAAAGATGTTTTCAGAAATGTCAGATTGTTCTCTGATTTTTTCTCTGTAAACTTAAAATCTATACATGCATAACTGTTATTAACACAAGGGCTATTTTGTATTTTATAAAATGTGGAAAGGAGACAAACAGAGTACAAAACAAACAAACAAACAACCTTTATTGGCATAACAACCGAATTATACCAGGGATGAAACAGTCTGAACAGTCAAGGCCCTGTCTGCTGATACATTGCTCGTTTCCTAGCTGCAAGGTACACAGATTTGGCCACAGTTTCAATCACAATTTGGTTCTGAGTAGATAATAAAAAAATAAATTTGCATTCATCAGATTTCCCTGCTTCCTCTCTCAACAAGGAATCAACAAGTGTGGAAAGTATAGGAAGATAATAAGTACAGTGCAAAAAAACACGTTCCAGGCTCTCTGTGTCCCACTGATTGCATGTGCATAGCCTGTTAGCATATGGTATTTTGTGAAATCTCCTGTAGAGAACCGCAGAGGGTAACACATTGAAACGGGCTAATGAATAAGCTTTGCAATAGTGCGGGGCTGTTAAACAGGTTAAATACTCTGCCATATACCCATAGAGTAAAATCCCCAAGCCTAAGGGTAAACATCTACTTTTAGCAAGGCTCCTAAGATCCTGTATCTCGATGTCAAGGAGTCTTTGTTTGATCTGTGCAAAGGCTGAACTTTTGGTAAGGGAGGATAAGTTGTCTATACTGATCTCTATTGAATTGATTTTCTTTTCCATGTGGTTTAACCACATTGAAGACAGAGACTCCATCAGCATGTGAAAAACAAGGCTACCGTTATTATTCTTAAAATGTAGATGTAGCCAAAATTTGATCGTATCAATCCATGCTTTAGTTTCAAGGAGCCTTTGATTAGTCTCCAGGCAGATGGCCGCATAAGGCACACACATGGGCAGTCCCAGTATTTTTCGAAGGAAGTTAGATTGTATTCTTTCCACTTCCTTATTGAAGGCCTTGATCCAAATAGGTACTCCATAAAGCAATTTTGCACTAATCTTATGATTGAATACTCTAATAGCTGTGGGAACATATTGATTACCCTTGGTAAAATAAAAACAGATAAGCACAAGTACGTTGCAGTTCACAGCTTTTATCACTTCCCTGCTATGAGGAACCCAACTGGCTCTATAATGGAAATGTATTCCTAGGTATCTAAAACTTTTAACCTGTTCAATCCAGTTGCCTCTTATATCCCATATTGAGGGTTTCCACGCTTTTCCAAAAACCATGATTTTTGATTTCTCAAAATTCAAGGTCAATCTGTTTAGTTCACAGTATTCATAGAAGTGTGATAATAGCTGTTTCATTCCAATTTGCATAAGGGAAAGTAACACTGCATCGTCTGCATATAAAAGCAGTGGAATGTGGATCGACCCAAGTTTGGGACTGTGGTCATCTATGTCCTCCAAGAAAGAGACCATATCATTTATAAAAAGATTAAAAAGTAGTGGGGCCAGAATACAGCCCTGTTTCACACCGATATTTATTGGGATTTTGGGGGTTAGATCTCCTTCACGTGAACATCTGACCTGACAGGTAGTATTGTGGTGTAACTTTTAAATCAGGAATAGCAGTCTCTTATCTATCCCAAAATTCAGGAACTTCTTCCACAGTAATTATCTTGGAACAGAATCAAAGGCACATTTAAGATCTAAGAAGGCCGCAGACAGTTTAAAACCCTTCTCTTTCTTATATTTGTTTACTAGGTGGCTTAACACTACACAGTGATCTATACCGGAGGATTCTTGGATGCCACTTATGGTATGGGAATGATTCAGGCTGAAATATCCTGACAAAGTGCTGGAGGAATATTCCTGGAGGAACACACCACTAAGCCTTGTCTCACATCCTCAAATGGTGAAGGAACAGTCTGAGGTGGAAACTAATTTGCCCATTTCAGGGGCCATTCTTATATTCTTTTTACCTGAACATACTGGTACCAAATGCCATTAGCTGCCTCTTTGCTACCTGTCCAAATTTCAGGATCTGGCTTGTGACTGGGGAATTTAGGGATGTTCTGTGATTGTAGAAATGTTTGATTATGTGTTCTCATTGGGGGAAATACCAGTATCCAAGCTGTTGTTAAAAAATTGGAAGTTTTCTTTCTGGGAGATGCTAATAGGGAATGTGTCTAGGACATATCATGGGATGTGGAGATGTTCCTGGCTTGTATGATGGAGTTACCGGGGTGACAGTTGTGGTTTATACCTGCCAGCACTGACCAGGAGATGGATAGATGGTAGATTAGGTTTCTAGCAAAGTCTACATTGTAAAGTAAATTTTTAAGGGTTCTGAAGGCAGCTCTGGGCAGCTGAAAAATGGTGCCTTTGGAACTGGAGAAAAATGTGTCAAAACTCCTGCTTAGACATTTTAAATGAAAGAATCAAAGAACTAGCAGAATATATAAGCTGATTCTTCTTTGATTCTTTTATCAGAAATATCTTTGAATGGCTTCCAAGGCATCACCCTTTCCCTGAGTTTCAATTCAGATACAAGCAGCAGCCATAACCCTAAAAGAGCATCTGTATAGTCAGAATGTTGCTTTGCTTCTTCATCACTTCCCCACCAAATCCTGCATCTGTCCCATCCTACCAATGTGCATTCACACTTCTGGTATCATTCCCTTCTCTAAACTCCCCAGAGCAATTCTGGTTGAGCAGCATCTTCTGAAACCTACTGCCCAAAGACTTTTGCATCAACCTTCATGGGTGTGTTAATGTCCTGTGGTCTTCTGTATAGTTTTCCCATTGGCAAATTGTTAACATTCTCCTAGGTCAACCTTAAATTGATTTTATTTTTGGACTTTGTGGATTTTATTGTGGATTAAAACAGACTGAACAATTTCATTGTTGGCTGGTTTGAAATCCCATTGGTAAGCCATGTACAGGCTTCCCAAGTACTTACCGTGATTCGACGGGGGATGAAGATGTCTTTGCAGGATCATTCCTGTGGGGACAACAAACGTGCTGCACCATGCCATCGCCAGGAAGTGACGCCGGGCGATGCTCTGGCAATGGGGCCAGAAACTCAATGGTACCCAGTGTCATTTCCTGGTGACGGCATGGTGAGTTACAAGGAGAAATGTTCCGGCCGGGGAGCATGTGTCCCCTGCCAGATTGAGGTAAGTACTTGGCAACCCTAGCCATGTATCACCTGGAAATCAACTGTAACTGTTTCACCAAGTATATCACCAGTTTATGTGTTTTTTGATAAGCAGTGCAAATAATAGGTGTCAGAGAAAAGACATTGTTAACTGAGCAATTTCAATAATGCCACAACTGTTATCTTGTTAGCAGTAATTCCCTTTTCTGTGACTAAACATAAAAGCCCAGTTCCCAGGTGAAGCTATCCTACAGGCTGCACCTGTTCATGCTTTTGTAGTTATAATGACACAGTCAACAACTCCAAGGACTGTTTTCTCTCAGAATTTCTGACCACCTTGGTTATGCTAGAGGGAGGGACTCTCTAATTTTATTCCATCTAATTCAGAGAGACAGAAAAAAGCTGGTGTTGAAACTCAAGGCCTGGAAAAAGGACACAGTGGGAGAGGAATGGCTAATTCCTCATACTTTGTCTTAGACAGCAGTGCTAAGGCACAGCTAATGCTTCACCACATGAATGGATATCTGTGGAAATAAAACTAAAGTGGAGCTCAACTTCAGCTCCATGAGAAACCTCTTTACACAAACAGTTGCTCATATATTGGTGCTGAGCCAACTTGGTTTCATTCATTAAGTGCATTTCATACCAGAGAAGAAGGAAGAGGAGGAGGAGGAGATTAGATTTATACCCCACCTTTCACTACTCGAAAGAGTCTCAGAGAGACTTAGAATCCCTTTCCCTTCCCCTCCCACCAACAGACACCTTGTGAGGTAGGTGTGGCTGAGAGAGCTCTCCCGAGAACTGCTCAAAAGAACTTATGACTGACCCAAGGTCATACCAGCAGCTGCATGTGGAAGAGTGGGGAATCACAATCCTGTACTACTTTCCCTTAAAGAAGTTCAGAAGAAACCACGATGGAGAATGAATTTAGATTTGTTAAGGAAGCGTGAGTTTATAAACAATACTAAATTAGAAATTCAAGATTTTTTTTAAAGGTTCCGGTTTATGGCAGTGCACTGAGCAGTCGCACCTCCTGGACCTCCTGGGGGTGAAGCTACGCACCGGCAGAAAGGAGGGGGGCGAGGCATCGCACCCCCCCCCAGGAACCTGGCGAAAGGCTTCTGGCCAAGGGACTTCTACAGGGACATTTTACCATATGTGGTGGATGTGTAGTAAGATACAAGGATATTGGAAGATGGTGCAGAAGGTAATCCAAGAAATTTTGGGGGGAAACTTAGCATTAAAACCGGAAATATACTTGTTAAATATGATCCTGAAAGGTTATAATGCGCAAGAATCATACTTATTAGGGTATATAATAACAGCTGCTAGATTACTATTGGCCAAAAATTGGAAATCCGAGATCATACCCAAGAGGGAAGAATTAGCAGTCAAAATACTGGAATTAGCACAAGTGGACGATCTGAGTTTAATGTTGCAGAACAGAAATGAAAAGGTACATGAGAAGAGATGGGGGGAAAAGTATATAATTGGTTAGGAGATTTGTGAAATGGTTAGCAACTCGAAAATGTATGTAAGAATTACTAAGCGATTAATGACTCTGATATATATGTAAGATGTATCGATGGAATGTATGTATGTAAAACTAGAAATGAAATAAAATATTATCAAAAAAAAAGAAGAGAGGAAGAATTACATTGCAATTCTGTTCCTGAGAGAAGGCGTGTGGCATTCAGAACAGCTTCTGGTGTGTGTTCCCTAAAAACATCTGCCTTCTGCAATGGATGCACGGCTTTTGCTATCAGGTCTTCATAGCTGCGGTGGCTCAAGTGGTTAAGACGCTGAACTGCAGGCTGTGGAAGGTCAGTAGTTCAGTATATAATTGGTTAGGAGATTTGTTAAATGGTTAGCAACTCGAAAATGTATGTAAGAATTACTAAGCGATTAATGACTCTGATATATATGTAAGATGTATAGATGGAATGTATGTATGTAAAACTAGAAATAAAATAAAATATTATCAAAAAAAAAGAGGAAGAATTACATTGCAACTCTGTTTCTGAGAGAAGGCGTGTAGCATTCAGTACAGCTTCTGGCGTGTGTTCCCTAAAAACATCTGCCTTCTGCAATGGATGCACGGCTTTTGCTATCAGGTTTTCATAGCAACTGGTGTGGTACCCGTGTCTTTTGCATGTACCCTGTGAAGCAGCCAATGACCACCTTAACTGCTTTATATATTATAGCTTTAAAGTTTTAGATAGCACATAGTTTAAAAGCCGACATGTAGACGTCCTTCTCTCTACGTGGGATCAGTGTTCAGGTTCTATCTCAGTGAAAACCGAATTAACTTTTCTTGATATGGCCAGAGGTGTTGCAGTTGCTAATGTTTATATAAAAGACTTTAGATGTGTTGTATCTACTCTTTGAAAACTAGAGAATACTGCTACAGGGAGCTAACAATTTCATCTCCTTCGGCCTGCTAGGGAACAGCTGCAACCAATAATATATCGGCCACCCCCACGTTTCTGTTCTTCCGGAACAAAGTGCGAATTGACCAGTATCAAGGAGCTGATGCTGTGGGGCTAGAAGAGAAAATCAAACAGCACCTAGAGAATGACCCTGGAAACAATGAGGATACCGATATTCCAAAAGGATATGTATGTACATTTTATTTAAACGTTATTCTAATTACTTATACTTGCACTGCATTATAAACTTATTATACTGGAATCCAGTAGGGTTGGCTTTGGTCATACAGTGTCAGTTGACTACCTATTTGCCTGCAGTCTAGTATTCCATGAAGTCAAGAGCTGCCACTGTGTAAGCTGCAGTTTATCTCTTTTATTTCCTTCTGGTGTCATTTCTTAGTGAGGGCTGCTCGACTACCCCCCCACCACACCCTGCGTCGGCTGAGGGCGAGCCAATCAGCACAGCGAAACTTCTACTGGTTATCTATGAGAACTGCATGCATCTCCAAACAGGAGCACGAGCAGTCTTGAATGGCAAAGGTCACTTCCTAGGATCCCCAATACTAAAACTCGTTACAGTTAAGAATGTAAGAGAAGCCATGTTGGATCAGGCCAGTGGCCCATCCGGTCCAACACTCTTTGTGACACAATGGCCAAAACCCAGGTGCCATCAGGAGGTCCACCAGCCACCCTGAGCCTGCCTTGGTAGGGAGGGCGGGGTATAAATCGAATAAAATAAATGAATAAAATTGGTTTTTAGATGTTAACTTTGAAGTATTAAAATTAACACTTCTTTTTTTGTAGTTGACACAAGTATCAAACCCCTTGCTAATTAAAAATGTGTATATATTCATTCTGATAGTTAAAGCTTTAAAAATAGTTGACCTTTCAGTTGAATAGATCTTTTTGACTGATCAGATGCCCTGTCTTAGTGTCCAAAGAACAGAGGATGTGATTTCTGCGTATTCCTGAGGGCCTCTTTGTGAAGTTCCTACTGCAATCCCATTTACTTCCCAGAAAGCTGTTCTGCTGTAGCTCCAGTGGAAAAGAGAAATAGAGAGAGTCTGAAAGCATGTGTGAGAATAGTTGGGCACTTGTAGGAGACCCTGGGTCTTGGGCCAGTTTGGTGTAGTGGTTAAGTGCGCGGACTCTAATCTGGGAGAACCGGGTTTGATTCCCCACTCCTCCACTTGCCCCGTTGGATGATCTTGGGCAAGCTGTAGTTCTGTCAGGGCTGTTCTTGAACAAGAGCAGTTTCTGTCAGAGCTCTCTCAGCCCCACCTACCCCACAGGGTGTTGTGTGGAAGGAAAGGAGTTTGTAAGCTGCTCTGAGACTCCTTTGGGTAGTGAAGGGTGGGGTATAAATCCAATCTCCTCCTCCTCCTCTTCTTCTATTGTCATGTGTACCCAAGCAGTACTTCAGTTGCTTTCAGTACACATTCAATTTTTTTTGGGGGGGGGGGTAACAGGTGAACTGCAGGAGAGTAGGTAAGAAAGTCCTGTTCTGTGAATCCTGCTGGCAGTTCCTTCGATTCCACCCTTTTCCCTTGAGAGGCGTGGGTGTGAGCTTCGCACACGACATAATGAAGTGACACAATGGGCTGTGTAGCTAATGTGTGGATTATGCTCTTTAAAACATTCTCTTATGTGTTAACATCTCGCTGTAAACAGAAAACTAGCGCAGCAGGTGCAGGGCTGGGTGGGAATTTCCCCATGTGCAAGTTGCCTTTTTTGGGGGTAAACCATCCTTAATGTGGGGGAAATATTCAAAAAGTGGCATTTTCCCACCCTTCCCCCACCATGTGATGTCTAAAGTGGGAATAGATGCCTCTGCTTCCTAGTTAAGCAATTATTGGTGAAGTATAACTAGAAACAGATACTGAATGTTTGTTATGTGCCCATTGTGTTCCCTGTGCATGTAGCAGGCTGGTGGCTTGACTGCACCTCTTTCCTTGTAGTCAAGGGAAAATACACACACACACACAATACAGACCCTTTATTGGCATATAAAATCAATAAGATAAAAACTTTGTCAAGCTAAAACTACGTCTATAAATCTTAGAGCACACCAATATTAAGAATAGTTTATTGTGGCCAAAATCTTAGCCAAAAATTCAGCAATCTGTGCAGTCACTTCTGGTGTCTTATCAGCAAGGAGAAACCTGATTGCATTATCAGAATTGATCCTAGACAGTGTAAGGGCTTAATCAAAAATAGTCGGAGATGTGAATGGAAGGGGCAGCGTAGCAGAATATGATCTAAGGTATCAGGTTCTCTAAGAGAGCATTTGCAGATTCTGTCGCATTTCGGGATGCCTCTATATCTACCTGAGACCCAGGATGAGGGGAAAACATTGAATCTGGCCAGCATAACGGCTCTGCATTGTAGCGAGATCACCAGATTAGAGACGTATTGGGCCATACTATTTGGTCCATATCTGAGGCCAAGGGAAAGGGGGGAACAAGTGCCCCCGGCCCCAGCCTGGATTGTTTGGACTTCGATGTCCCAAATTCTTCTGCGAATCGTCCGGTATATAAAGGTCTCATCTTGATTTTCCAAGATGTCCAGGTCAATGCCAGTTGAGCATCAAAGGAAAAAACAAGGATTGGCCATGTATGTTTCAGCAAGTGAAATGCCTCCAGGCGGCGGGATGTTGAATTCCCCAGGTTCTGCTAATGTTAGGTTGTACCCTTCTGCTTTGCTAAGCGTGGACCCTTCCTCTGAAGGAAGAGCCTTTTCTGGTGGAGGAAAGCTTCTCATTTAGCTTAGTCGAGGGGTAGGATACAGCCCAGCTAGCACAAGTACTGGGGCAACGAAGGCCCATTAACTTGGGTTGTGCTGATTATGCTGAATTCTATTAGTAGGTCTGACCCCTGGCATCTGTTCCATCCAGGAATATTAGCCTTACAGAAGTCCTTGACAAACATAGAGAACCAAGGCCACGTTTGCAATTTCCCAAAGTCCTGGAGGCAGGTTTAGTAATGTATAATTTGTACTGATTGCCCGTACTTCAGGTTTTTCTCCATTTAGGCTGCCCAGTCCACAGAACACACAAAGTAAATCTTATTCTCATGGTCCCCTTCATTGAAATTTCACTGTGGCCGCTGTTTCAATTCCAAACACTACTGCAGAGCGTTAATCAAGAAATCCGCACCGAAGGGCCATGGACATACAGGGAAACATTCTTCTGGAAATGAGAAATAAAAGGTGCGGGAACTTTTTTTTAAAAAAAGTCCCCAAACCTCCACTTGCCGGAAGGGAGAGTGAAGCCTCTCAACGCTCCCGTTAGTGAGATCTTGGCAGCCATTTTGAGGAAGGAGGAGGCGGTAGGCTCACTGAGAGGCCGCCACCACCGCTAACCTGTGACGTGAGGCAGGCCGGTGGGGTGAGCAAGCAGAGCAGCCGTGGGGAAGAAAGACAGAGGAGCCCCGAGGAGCAGTGCCCGCAAGCAAGGCAGGCAGAGGCATTGGGGGAAAGATTGGGGGGGGAAAGAGAGTTTGCAGAGAAAGAAGTTGCAAGAGGAAGTGAGGACCGCTAAGGGCATGGAATTTCCCTTCCCTTCTCCTGCAAGGGCCTGGTGGGTACATATGTAAGGCCCCCAGTTTTTTAGGGTCAACCCGAGATCTGTACCAGCACTGTACCATTCCCCCTCTCCCCCATTGAGCTAACTGCAACTTTTTCGGCAGAGAAATTATTTAAATTGCCAGTTATAGCAGGAAAGCATTAAACGCACCTGCCCCCATGACCCCTTCCATGCCACGATAGAAACTTAATCGCGGATCTCCCCGGACGCATCTGGTTCAACCTTTTGTGCTGTGCAGCTGTAACCCTAGGAAGGGAAAGAATTTTCGCAGGAGTGGAATAGCAGGAGCATGCAGGTCTGCGTCCCATATATAGTCTCTTAACTAGTTAGGAGCACAGCAGCACCGTATCAGACCCCTAAAACCATCTTCAGGCAAGTAGGAAAACAAAGAACCCTCTTGTTGGACAATGGATTCTAGGTTCAAACCTGGGTTGAAGGAAATGGCGACTGACTGTGGGCAAACACCTTTTAGCACGTTTTCCAGTGTTTTGAGTCTTCACCTTCCATCTCCTGAACGCTACAGATCAAAGCCTCGCCTGACAGCTGGAGTGACAAACACATGTAAATGAGACCCGTAATGTGACAAAACACTCAATTGAAGCTGTCATTTTCGTGACAGCCTCTGAGCGATATTTGGCTTAATGTTCCTGCTTTTAAAAAAGAGGTCCATTTTTGCCCTCTTCGCCAAAATATTAATGAAACCTCTGACAGGGCTCAGCACTTAATATTTCAGTGAAGTGCCGTGGCTACTAATAGCTCATAAGCCTGAATGGCTCGCGTTGCATTTCTTTGCAGGTTTGAACGTTTGTGTTCCTTATTAGCAAATCCAATCCATTAGCTGGGGAAACAGCTTTGCTGAAACCTAGAATATCTTTAAATTAAAAAAAAACACCACCCAGATACAAAACCGTGTCCCTTTTGATATGGAAAGTGCTTTAAATTCACAGCTGAATAGATACTGACCCCATCATGCTAATGCAACCCCAGTTTACTTTTCCATCTGAATCTTTCTCATGTAAATAAGCACCAGGAATGTGAGTTCACATTCACCCTACCACCATGAATACTGCTTGAATTTGCACCAGTTCAGGTTTACGAATATTGTCTCTACCACTGTGTTCATTCCTCTAGTATGAGTGTAAATAGGAATGCTAATTAATACAACAGCATTAGCTTCTAAAGAACCACCAACTAAGAACATAAGAACATAAGAGATGCCAATGTTGGATCAGGCCAAAGGCCCATCCAGTCCAACACTCTGTATCACACAGTGGCCAGAAATACCAGTGCCATCAGGAGGTCCACCAGTGGGGCCAGGACGTTAGAAGCCCTCCCACTGTTGACCCCCCCAAGCACCAAGATGACAGAGCATCACTTGCCCCAGAGCCCCTATCTATACCTTGTGGCTAATAGCTACTGATGGACCTCTGCTCCATAGGCTTATCTAATTCCCCTTTGAAGCCGTCCATGCTTGTAGCCGCCCCCACTTCCTGTGGCAGTGAATTCCAAGTGTTAATCACTCTTTGGGTGAAGAAGTACTTCCTTTTATCTGTTCTAACCCGACCGCTCAGCAATTTCATGGAGTGCCCACGAATTCTTGTATTGT